GGCGAAACGACTAGTCGAGGTAGGCTAGACAGGCGGGAGCAGAGACAGCGGTGTCCATGCTTTTGCTTTTTATGGTATTCATCCAAACGGAAGTGTCCGTCTTGCAAACATTTTGTAAAGTATAATATTAACTCTCATTACATGGCTTATTCTTTAAACGTCAAAATATGCTGCTCAAAAGGAAATTACAATACATCACAAAGGTTTAAAAATCAAGATCTAAGTTGTCAATCATCATCTTAGCCAATGAGAAGAGTTGCCATCGCACGTCACTCCGTGACGTATAACAGCCGCTCCGGGATGTATAATAGCAACTTTGTGGCACGCGATTTAAAAGGAACGAAATAGCCGCAAACTAAAATCAGTCTCGCGAAGTAAATATTGCTGTAAAATGTTTTCTTTTTCGCGGAAAAATTGTTTTGTGACATGCTTGTTCTAATTAGGCGGTTTAAAAATACTGTTTTTTTTTTTGCATTAACCCTTTAAATTTGTGGTCTGGAACTGGATGCGAAATTAAATGAAGCTTTATTTGATCGCATTCAAAGGAAATTCGCCTACATTCTTAACTACCGCTGTATGGGATCTGAAGAAACTACGACCCGATCGACGTGATGGTAACGGTTTATCAGGATGACAACATGGCGCATGTCCCGCGCGTGACCCCGTTGCCAGTTCCTCGTCGTCCCGTGTCCATTCCCCAACATCCTCCCACCCAACAAAGTCAAACCGACGGTTTCGTCGGAATTTCTAGACGGTAAAGAAGTTGAACGGATTTTCTTCTCTTCACGCGACTTCCGAGCCGAATAGTTCAGGCACGCACTTTCCCATCTGGAAAGTTCTTGTCGACGACGGCCAGATATCAAAGTGTTCTTGGGTGATGGTTGTTCCTGAGAAACGCAACATCTCTCACTTGAATGCCGATTAAGTTAGATGAGCCAACCGTGTTTGCAAATTGCAACTCCAATCTGAAATATTTCACATTACACGTTCTTCGCCGCTGGCTCCGTGTGAGCATTCGCTGCTCGGGAACGGGAGTAGAACATTTCTGCCACTTTCTGGTTATCGTGGGTGGAACTTCGAGCCCGTGATCAGATGACGACCCGTGGTCCGAGCTACCACGGCGACGCTTTTCCATTGCATTACCTGATATTTTCATCAAAGGCTGTTCAAAAAGAGCACTTAAATTGAGCCCCGCTTCGTCACTCACAAAGTCCTGGTAGCGGTAACCGTTGCTCTCGCAGAGCGTTCGCACGAGATGTCTAAGGGTTTCGGTAGAGATTTTGTAACGAAGTAGTCCACTTGGCTTTTGCACACTCTCTTCTATGAGGCCACGAAGAACTTAACCAACTGCGTCACCATCTTTCGATTTGCTGAGCCATTCAGCTGTTCTTTCTTTGATGCAAACGTCTTCGAAGGTGATCTCATAATCCGTCCGGGTCGGTCCCGTTTACGAAATTTCTTGCAGTCGACGCTGACCCCTTTGCCCTCCTGAACCTCAGGGAAAACGCTTATGAGGCTGGTCGGTTTCAGAATGTTCCCCCGTGCTTCAACAGCACCAGTGGGAGTCTCTTTATCCCCCTCCCTATCATTGCTCATGACGTTCAAGTCAGGGATTCCACTGTCCTCCTTAAAGTCACTGGTACTCAGCTCGCGCTGGCAACCGACAGGCTCCGGTACTAGCTGAGCGCCAGCTGCTTCCCGGTCATGTTTGAAACCAGATTTCCTGCTATTTCTGGGTCTATTGCAACGTGTCAGTGCTGTAGGCGCCCATTTTAGAGCCTCCGGTTCGTCGTATTCCAAATCACCGTCTTTCCGAACTCCTTTCTCGGGCACCAGTTCACCCTTGATGCTTGACTGCTTGGGCTCTGGCACATCCTCCTCAGGAACCGGTGGGTATTTTTCTCCCGTAGCTGCTGAGAAGGCTGGTTGCTTTGATGTCGAGTCATTACCTGCATAACAGTTGCTTGGTCCCAGCCCACTTCCGGAAATGGTCGTACTGGACCTTAAAGTGTCCAACCAAATATTGTTTCTACTGCTGTTAAATCTCCGTCAAGTCTCTTGATGGACCCAGTGACAGCTTTCCAGTAATTATCCGCTCCGATGAGTATATCACTGTCAATGTCTCTCTTGAGCCCCGAGCGTGAAAGATCGGCGAATTGCAGCGTGCACGTTTGAGCTGTCCTGCAGAGACTTACAGGGAACGCGGAAGAGCGGCAGATGGCAGGAACTTCCAGAGCCTCGATTCGTACACGTCTCCGATCGTATTGGCTTTGGAGCCATACCTCTACCTTCCTGAGTTTACTCGCATTACCAACGGAAGTATTGCCGAAGAGTGTAATGCTCGAATCCTCTTTTCCTAGAACCTTACAAGACAGCTGGTTGACTAGCCTGGTCCTCACAAACGTCCGCTGGCTCCCTCCATTCAGTAAGCACCGGAATAGGCGGCGCTTAGTCCCCCTCCTGCCCAAATTGTGGCAGTTTGCAGAAGGCCTGTTTCGACGCTGTTAGACACCGCCCTCGTTACTGACACTTCCGAAGTGCCTGGCTCTGACGACGAATGAGGACTGTCTTTGGTGGGTTTGAGGTCAGGATCGCAGAGACAAGTCATGTGTCTCCCTTGGCAGCTGGCGCAGCGGAGAAATCTGGCATTGCGACAATATCGTGCCTGGTGATATCTTTTGCAGCACGTGAAACATCGGCCGTCTCTCTTCAGTATTTCTTTTTTCTCACTGATGGAACGCACGTTGCATTGGTCGTACGAGTGGTCACGTGCACCGCAAAAAAAGCATTCGGCGTTTTGAGCGTCCGTCCTTGCAACTAAAACTGCTGCCGATGGAGTGATGTTTGCTTTGCATACCTGGTTTGATGAGTCCTCCTTTTGGGCCTTTGATAGATTGGGTTCATTGGGCTTTATTTCAAGGACGCGCTCTCGGCTCTCTACCTCGGACTTCAGAAAATTCAAAAACGTTTGCAGGCTACCGGTGCTATCCGCGATATCGGTGGCTCTTTGCTGGCAGTAGCGGAGGACAAGATCGTCAGGAAGTCTCTTCTTCATGGCAGCATGTAGCAGCACACTGTACTCTTCCGCCTTTACGCCAAGTGCTTCCAGGCTGCGGACATTTATCGTGATATCATCATACAGCCGTCTCAGAGCCGTGACGTCGCTCGACGTGGTAACATTTTTTTTAAATTCAAGAGTCGCGTCATGTGGTCGTCAATTATCGCCGGGGTCTGGCCGAACCTGTTCTTCAAGAGATTCACAGCTATGTTATAGTTGTTCCCCGTAATAGACAATCCCCGTATGCTGTCTTCCGCCTTTCCGAATAGATAGCTCGTCAAATATCTAAATTTATCAATTGAAGCAAGGTCGGGGTTGTTTTGTATAGCCCCTTCAAATTGATCCCAGAAAGGTTTCCAGTTATGGAGATCTCCTTCGAACTTTCGGATCTCTAATCTTGGAAGTTTGATTGCTATCGTTCTTGACCTTAAATGACCGTGGTCCCGATCCTGTAGTCTTTCCACAGCGTTCGATACGATGTTAGGCGTGCGCAGGGCATCCAGCTTGAGCGTGGCTCTTGTCCGTGAACGGTAGATCGACACCTGATAAGCCTCGCTTTCCATCTTTTCTTCAAGGTGATCGATATCAACCCCATCTTCAATCTCGCCGTCAACTGCCTTCAATGCTGCTTCCTTCAGTTCGAGGATATTCAAGTTTTCTGTGAGCTCACCAGCGGTTGCGTCCGACGAATCCAATCGAGCTTGCAACTCGTTGGTGGCTCTCGTCACCGCTGACCGGATGACGGCTCGTTTCCTCCGCAGTCGGTCCATTCTCTGAAGGCGAGTTGTTGTCCGGGTTCCGTGTCTGTCAGATGGGCAGCTGTCACTCGTTTTGTCGGGCGTCTCCTAGATCCCGGGTTTCGGCACCAGATGTATGGGATCTGAAGAAACTACGACCCGATCGACGTGATGGTAACGGTTTATCAGAATGACAACATGGCCCATGTCCCGCGCCTGACCCCGTTGCCCACTTCCTCGTCGTCCCCTGTCCATTCCCCAACAACCGCTACTTGCGAAGCGAGCCATACAGTCATTCCTGTGCATGTATACTACAACATCGAATGTTTGTATCACCACAGGCTTTTCGCTGATATTTTATTTCTCTTCAAATGTTTACACGCCGAGATTGATTCTCCTGATATTTTCTCCTCTATTTCGTTGCGTCTGCCCCACTAAAGCACTGTGTCTGGTGCGCATTTTACCCCCTGGGTTAAATATGCTGGTCTTTGTCACCCAAATACAGTGACTTTGCCGAAAAACTAAACATATTCAACGACAGCATTTCCGGTCTTCATTAGGGCGCGTAATTAAGGCTATTGTAACGCAATTAATGGTGCTCTTCCTTTAATTTTTTACCTATGTTTTTTTTCCTGGAGCAAATCGGTGAACATGTGCGTCTGTTGACTGATTGGATGTGTTTTTATTTGTATTAATGTTTGTCTTCGCTTATTTTGTCTTATTTTCTCTTCGAGCCGCTTTTTGTGCCTCTTTTCGCCTTAATTTCGCTCTCTCGTTTATTCTTTGTCTCAGTGTTTTCCTCGTGTTTCAACAAAAAGGCTGCTGGCTGTTCTTGAACACGCAATAAACATTATTATTATTATTATTATTATTATTATTATTATTATAAGTAATAGTAGTAGTAGTAGCAGTAGTAATATTATAATTATTCTATTAGTTTGCGCGACCTCGGAAAACTGCCAGCATTGAGTTTTTCTAGTGTCACGCAATATTTAAAATGAAGGCGTTCAAGAACAGTCAAATTCCTTAATCAGTCATAAATACGGAATGAAAAGGTGGATACTTTGAGTTGTTAATAAAAACACAATTTATTTATCAAGTAGAATAATATATATAATAAAAATCAGATTGTCAGGTGAAAGTTGACAAAAGAAGCTTCACATGCAAAACATATTTGTATGTCATTTAGGCGAACTTTTCATAGTCATCTTGATTAATATAAGAAGTCAAAGCACCGCACAAATGTATTTAAAATCCAAGTGTTTTGACCTCTCTGGAGCTTTATTAGTTAGATCTCTCGAGTCAGCTTCCATGTGCAGGGGCGTGGACAAACAGTTTTTAAAAGTTTCTTCGCATTCTTGCATTTGAAGTCCACATCATATAGCTTGTATACCTCAAGATTGTTCTTGCTGGTGATAACTGAAACGCAAAAAAATATGCAAGTTAGTTTGATTTTTTATGTCTTTACACTGATTACAAAGCAACACCTAGAGTTAAACATTTCTATTTATCCAACAAGATCACTATGCTTCTGATTTTTCTTCAGTTAAAGTGGGACAGCCCTGAATATCAGAAAAACTTCTAGGGCTCCCAGTTAATATTTCGGATATTGTTCACTTCTTAATATGTATTAAGCTGTTATAGTTTAATTGCAAGAGTGCTGAGCATGATATCTCCTCTGACCCAGGAATTTTGGCATCCATTTATTCGTTTATTTTGCAGCCTGATTCGTTCTCGCCTTGAGTTTGCGAGCGTTGTGTAGACTTCTCTGAAAGCAACTGATGGTTTGAAAATTGAAAAGGTACAAAATAACTTAATTTGAATTGTATACGACCGATTTTTTGAGCGAAACTATTTTATTGTTATGCTTTTTTATCACTTTGATTTGACTCTGTGCAACAAAGAAACGACCTGCTGGTTGTTTTTGAGCACGTGAAAATATAGATTATTATTAGTAGTAGTAGCACTAGTAGTATTGTTATTATTAGTAGTAAAAGTATTTTATACTTGAGAATCTAAGCTTACAAACCTTATACGTTCTTACAGTTGCGCGAAAGAGTTTAACACTGCTTAATTCGTTCATTCATTCATTTCACTCATTTGTTTATTTTCCGTGCTAGCGAATGGCGAGTAGCTTAATGACGCAAAGAGTCAAAAGGAGCAAACACCAGAAATCTGCGGCACGTGCAACAGCTAATATCTATGATGGGGGAAAAGAAACTAGGTAACAGTTAAATATTAGCTTTTGACCGCCTAAAGTGTTGAACACTTCAGTCGAAAATGTCGATGCTAGTTGTACTGAACGTGTTATAAACATGTTGGATGCGGTTCATGGGACTGGAAATGTTGATTTTTATACTGAGAAAGTGGGATTTACCCTCAAAATCACTCACGGTACTACTTAATATTATTGAAGACTAAATTAAAAGAACTCCTAGATTTAACGTGCCTCAAATTTGCAGCAGGCACTAATTTTTGTTTTAATCTTGTTTTCAGGAGAAAACGTGCCCAACCACCCGCATGCGAACGTCTCTCAGTGCCATTTGACAAAATTTGTGTTTATCTGATTTTACACATTTTGTATATCTTAAACGTATACTTGAATCTTTGATTTACTCATCATAATTTTATCGCGTTTTCTGTCTGTGTGTTGTGCACGTCGTATAGTAACGACCTGCCTCATATGAATAGTTCGGTCATTTTGTGGCAGGAATAAAAAGTATTAATTGTTATTATCATAATAATCATTATTATTTTCTGTCTGCTATAAATCAGTGCTTTCAAAATGAAAATTTAATGACCGCACTTGAAGCAGCTGAAGCCTATAGTCGGCGGCAGGTTAATAATTAAGTAGAATCTCTGCTCCAGCGGAAACTTTCTGCTATTATAAAACTTCGTCGCACGCGCAGCTATAGTCTCGTGGAAGGCAACAAGCGCGTGTTAGAGGCGGATTCTATGAATTCTTTCTAATGACGGAACGCTGCCTATAGACAAACGTGCAGATTCAGCCAGTAGTCTTGAAACTAAATTGAGTATGTCGCGTATTGTTCTGTTTCTGCTAATGAGGGATTTTGTGACCTTCAATAGGTATTCGTTTTATGCAGTTAAAGTCCATGTGGACCGGGTTATGCTATCCAAACATTGAAACTTTGCCTGTCAGTGGCATCGCTTGTAAACATCTTTTGTTAAAAAAAAAAACGGTGAGAATAAAAAAAAAAAATAGCTGCGCAAAAATTATATATACATTCCTTCATACTATTTTGGTTAGTAGCTCAGCCATGCCCATTGATATGCGAAGCCAATTTTGAGGTAATATCACAGACTGTGTAGAAAAAGTAAAAAATGGCGTACCTATTTGCAGCATGACGCAATAATTAGAAATACTATTATGCTTCCAGCACAATCGCGTTACAATTCCCGACATATTAATCCTCAGACGCATTTTCATCTGGCACCTCATAATGAAATTAGTATTTTCTTGAGAAAGCTTAATTCAAATCTCAGGCGAAAAATTACTTTGTGATTCTGGAAAAAAAATGTAACTGGAGATTTAAGTTACAATTATGACTTCCTGTGAGCAGCGGGTCACGCTTTTATACCAATTTTTTTTTCTTTTTGGGGGGCTATTAGTGCTACCACCACTCGTCGTTCCTTGTAATATCGCTCCTGATATTCGCACTGCATGGAGAACAGTCAGATCTCCCGCCCTAACAAAAATATAATTTTGTTTACCCTTTTTTTCCGTTTTTATACATACATATCACATGTTAACTAGTATCACACTTACCAATCTTCAAATACAGCGCCTCGCCGTTGAATGGTTTAAGAACAATCACGTCTTCCTGAACAGCTGAAATTAAGCAATTAGGGGCATTAAATTTGTCAAATATTAGCAGCTCATCCTTTCTTTAAACCTTTTTCTTGCTCTACATTTAGTGTGGATGTCATCCGAATTTGCACTTAGTTTGTTTTATTCATCGATCTACAAATCTGTGTTCAGTTGTTGTTGTTGTTGTTGTTGTTTTTTTTTGCCCTTTTACGGTTAGAACATCCTCGTAGATATATTTGTCTCCGTTCACAAATGTCACCTCAAAATCAAATTTCAGTCAGTTCAAACATTGGATTCATAGTACCTGTCTGAAATTCGGTAAATATTGCAAATTTTGTTACGCATGCCTCGATGAGCTTGCCATGTTATTGTGAAAATCCCGTTCACCTTATAAAAAATTATGTAAAGGTGTTTTTGGTAGGCTGACAGGCCAGGCAGAGATGGTGATGAACTCAGCCGAAAGCAATATATTCAGGGAGTGAGCTGTCGCTCCGCAAGTGCCAGTCGGTGCTCACCACAGCCCAAGCAAGTTGGCACTCAAGAGGAATGCGAAGCTTATCACCACACATACCTTCTCTTAGAAAAAGGCATACTCACCTAGTGAAGGGATACGTAAAAAGACGAGTGTGGCTCGTTGAAAATACAAACACTTTAACCAGCTCATTTTAGAGAGCTTTAGACCATAGATGTCTAATGTAAATACGTACTTCGGTAGTGCGAGCTTGGCGGTTTTTAAAGACCCTAAAGCGTAACCGGATTAGGTCATTCCTGCGCATTGTGTCCGCAATATATTGTAACCCATGGTCAAGGGGCCAAACTGGCTTTGAAACGTTGGGTTTTCAAATCTTAGATGGTCACAGTCTTCCTTTTCTATTTTAATTGTTCCTAACCGCGTATAGACGTCCAACGAAAGGTTCACTTTCAAGATATTCTCTAGTGATTTTACTCACTTGAAGTTTCAAGTTTTCCGACACCGCTTGCTGCGTCATAATGGGTCGTAAGGTTGCCCCTAGAAAAATGTAATTTATTCTTTAGTCAACGTATGGCAATGTTTTATGTTCAAGCAACAAATCAGCACTTGAAGGCAAATTGTTCTACGTTTCTTATTCGAACAAATATACTCATTGGATATACTGAAATCCATTTAGAGAAACATTAGAACGCCAGGTGAATACATCTATCAAGCAGTTTGAAAAGCTATTTAAACCTATTAACGCCGCACCAAATCTAAAAGGAGTGTACAAAATTTAATTGAGACCAAACTTTGTTGTTTTGCATTTGGTCTAAATAAGAATGCATTGATAAAATTTTATATAGGGATTTTCTGATTCATGGATAGTACAGCAAGAACAGGTTTTCGTAAACAGCCCCCCCCCCCCCCCCCCCCCCGTAGCTAAACTCTCAGCATTGACGACGTCGTTATTACTTTCGCCTTCTAAAGAAATCCGGATCTTCTAGGAAGTTGTAGAGTAAGTTACGTACCACAGCGCTAAACTATTTACAAAAACTTCCTAATGTCTCACTTTTCTTGCGTCCAAATGCCCGTGAACATTTTGTCCGTGTTTAGATATTCTAGGCTACAAAACACTTAATAATTATGGTATTAATATTAATATATTTCAAACTTCGCAGTGGTAAACACACGTTCCACACTTGCTTTACCACCACAGATAATGTTGTCGTCATTTTGGGGAGTGTACGTGGCTAGCCATAGTTATGAATTTTAACAAAGCTGCATTTTTGTTTTGAAACTTATTCTGACGTTGTTTAGTTCGAGCTCAGCGTGTGATTTGGCTGTGCAATACAAGTATTTTTTAATAGCGCAGTGTATTGTTACAGTGATCTGAGCCAATTTATTATTAAAGCTTTTCTTCCAAAAACAAGAATTCACGTTCCAGTGTGACGCACGTTTCAACATTTTATTCTTGTGGTTTTAACTTTAATAAAAATATATCGAGAGAGATGCTATTAGGGGTACTGATTAAGCCGTAGGAAGCAACACCAGTCACCTGCTGAATGTGTTGATCGATATTGTTTTGTTATTCTTTCCTTGCCTTCTCTAATGACAAGTCCGAAATACGTACCGAGTGTAGGAGTTAGGCGTTCCATTTACCGCGGTCCACGTGGTGCCAACTGCGTCTGTAGTGCTTGGATCGGTCCCGTCCCAGAGAATGGTGTAGTTGACGGAACCCGGTGAATCAATGCTGTTGCCACTTTGGTAGCACTGATATGTGAGAATTGGCCTTGATTCCATATCCTTGAAATGCAACAATATATCATTTAAAAATAGGCTCCCGTGCTCCAGACTTAGCGGTTGCTCCTTACATATGACAGAGTTTGTGCTTCAGAATTTTGTTGGGTAGGTAAACAACTGTTTGAAAATATTTATCGAGAAAATAAATTCGTGCCTTTTGGGCCAGCGGTACTTCAATTCTTCCTTTAAACATTTAACAAAACGCTAATTATCGGGGCATATCTATCAGGTATTCACTGCTCAGTGAATCTCTGCTAATATGCCATCTTTGTCATCGCCGAAGACATAGGCACACAGTTCACTCAGCTTCTATAAGCAGAACATTTCTTCACTTCACACGTCACAAAAACTCCATTGTATCATGGTAGTCATACGACTTCCAAAGTGAAACTTGCAACCCAAATCATTAGTTGCTTTTGGCAGGGTTTCAAAATATTCATTCTATTGGATTTTCTACTTGCTCACAAATTAAAAGAAGTTGCAAAAACATATGATTTTTTTAGTTTAATTTAAAGACGACTATATAACCCCCATATCACTTTGTTATAAAATAAATGTTGTGTTTCTGTAGGCATCTTATGTAAACGAGGTCTTGGATGTACGAAAATAGGTAGACAACATATTATTTCAGTATTCAAGATGCAATTCAACGCTTTTAACGCGATAGCGAGCTCGTGTCGCAGAACAGTCAGCGTCAGTTACGTGACACGAAACTCCTGATTGGTCGATAGGGTCATGATGTCACATGACGTCGCACGGGAATTTCAAACAACCCATAAAGGCTCACGTGAAGCGTGACGTTACGCAGGAATGACAGTGTTTAAAAGTGACATGTAACGCGAATTAAAGGTCGCTTCATGGCTCAAATTATTTTACTTTATAAAGTTATTCATATGTCGTCAAGAAAATGCTTCAAGAATTTTGGGCGGGATTCGAACCCACGACCTTTTGGATGGGAGCCAGAGGTGCGACAAGATCACGCAAGGCACGCTTATCCCATTCCACTCATTCTGCACGCAGCTACGTTTCTTATTTAAAAAATGCCTTCACATACCTCTTGAAACATGAATGATTCAGCACCCGCGTAATCAAGCGCGCATCGTCAAAATATGTTCTAATTAAATAAATGCGCTCATACCTAGCAGAAAGTTGGAATAACTGAAGTAGATATTATTTCAGACGCAACTGCTTCTATAAAAAGTGGCTTGAAACTAATACCTCGAGTATCCTTCGACTGCAGTGAGTATGAGTTACCTCTGGTATTGAGTTAGTTTTAATTAAGTGTAAGATCTGTTGAAACTTCTGTTGAAACGTGCTGAATAATGAACTATGTAAAAAGCAGTTTCGTTTAAACTTCATAGCTTAAGGCTGCGGTCCCACGGCAGCCATCTTGAACAAGGCGTTAGTTCAACCAATAGATGGCGACACGCACCCGTGGGGTGGCCGAAACATTGGTTCACAGTGGGATGGCTCGAGCACCATCACGTTCCCCTCGTGGCCTTGCTCGCGCCGCTGCCAGCTGTGCTCAGCTAGCTCAAGTAGCGTGGCCCAGCAAACGGATGTATGCGAGAATGTCAGGCTGGGTATAAATTGTTGTCTGATATAGGGAGATGCGGTCGGCGGTTGTAACGTGCTTTCGCAATAAATGTTACCAAGAAGGAATCAAATGTTGATTGACGTGTCAATATTCTATTAATGAAAATTTCCTCTGCAGGAATGCACGCTCAGTAGACTCAACCTGTGGAAGCGGACGTCGAGTAAACTGCTTCGCGATTTACGGTACTTACCTCACCATTTTAATGAGGACTAAAATAACATCACGAAATATTGTGTTTCACGGGGTCCAGAAGATGTTGTAAAGGTTGTTACATTATAGTTCCCGGAAAACAAACGCCGTTGCAATATTTTTCGAAGTACCGACACACATTATGTTGTAAGTACAGCTTAGGGAAACCATCAGAAGAAATAGGAAGACGTTTATTTGCAATGAAGACGCTATGAATGAACGGCGTTTAGCGACGGCAAGTTATGAGCGTTCGGGAATTTATAAGTTGACGTGATTGCTAACCATGGACATGCGGACAATGAGGACCAGTTTTGTCGGGAGATGGTGTTGTGGTGATGACCGGATATCGGACGACTCATGGCAGACGAACAAGGAAGTTTCTTCTCAGCGATTGGTAAGTGTCCAGTTTCAAGCACAACACGTGGCTACCGACGTTGTCGACGTTTCGAACACTTACCGCTTTCGACAAAAGTCCTGGCACCTGGGCTAACTTTGTGGAAAGACTCGAACAGTAACTGAAAACGATCCACTATTCAGTCGGTGTGTGGCGAAACGTATCCACATCTGCGGAGTCATGTACGATGCGTACTCTAAGTGGCCGGAAGTTTACACGATGTCTGCCACGACGTCCAAACACGTCATTGACCTTCTACGGTCTCTTTTACCTACTTTTGCCCTACCGAAAATACTTTTTTCTGATAACGCGCCAAATCTTGCTTCAAATAAAATAAACAAGTTTTTGAAGAAAAGAAAAACAGCATCAGGCATCACATTAGTGCACCATACCATCCTGCAACTAACGGGCAAGCAGAACAGATGGTGTGCGAAACGAAAAAATCCCTTTTGAAGCTTACGGAAGAAGCAGTTCAGTGAAGAATCGCCAGGTTCTTGTTCCGGCAGCACGCGTCGGTCTCATCTTACACGGAAAAAAAACCGCCGAAGCAATATTCGGCGGAAGAATAGCCACACCCCTCGATCTCATGATACTATCGCTTACGAACAAAGATCGAGAGATACCCACATCGGGAGTAATGGCAGTTTATTCGGTCGGACAACTCGCCTACGTGAGGAATTTCAGCGGAAGTCTGGCCTTCCATGTAAAACTTGAGTAGAAAAGGCTCTATGTTGGTTGACCAGGAGGTGTCATCTCTCTGAATAGGTTGGATATCAATGCCCTTAGGTGTAAATATAACTAAATCACAAACCTTTCTTTGTGTATTGTGTAACTGCCCTTGTATTTGATAGTAGAGGCTACGGTGGTGATCTGGACCTTTCACACCATGCTCCTTTTTCTTATTTTTCGCCTCATACTCCTTTGTGGTTTAAGTACGCTTCAAGAATCTTTCGGAACGGGGACACTTTACGTCAACGAGGCCATTTGTTCCAAGTAGTCAATCAGGGAATGCTGCTAGAAATCCGTCCCTCATATTAACGAATAAGCCGCACTTCTGCACAGTGCAGTTTTCCTGTTCCACGTACAGTTGTAAAGCAACATCCTCATTGATTCTACCATATACTGTTGCGGGTGAAGAAAGTCTTTGGGTACACGATACTTGAAACAAGTCTGGCACTGTACGTTGTGGTTCAACACCCATTAATGTCGTCGTCCTTATAGAGCCTCATCATTTAATCATTACCTCGTCACCTCATATTGCTCTTCATCAACAGTAAGTACAATAGGCTACCGCCACATTACAATCCAAGAATTGAAAAATTAAGTCGTTCAGTCCTTCAACCAGTTTATAATTTATATAATGTTATTACGTTACATTACCTCGAGACGATCGACGTCCATCGTCGATCTTCAAATACTTATACCTGTATATAAATTAGACGCACAAGGGGGGTTGGTTGCCGAGTGCATGATCTAGCGCACACCAGCTCGGAGCACTGGGAGCGAAAGCTCGCGCTGCAGAACCCACCCCGCCCCTGCCCGTTTCGATCTGGAAGAGCATCGTACCGGCGTGCGGTCGTGCATCACTACTGCGTGGCGCACGTTAAAGACCCCAGGTTTTCGGTTGTACCGCACTGGCTAAATTGCTCATCTACAGCTGAGACACCAGACGCCCACTAAGGCAGACTAACTTCCGGCTGAATAAACATACACACAACAATTTGCAATTAGACGCATAATAACAAAGAACACAGTGTGCCGCCTCTTTTCTTTGGATACCTTTTTTTCTAAACCAGCGCAAGCTCGTGCGTTCTCTCTTTTGAGACGGTTAGAATGGTCGCGTATAAAACCCGCGTTTCTCCTACCCGCCCGCTTCCTCCTCTTATTATGTGTATTTGGTTATTACTAAATAAGCTATAATAATTGTGTATTATTCATATTTACTTTCAGTTTCAGTCAGGGAAAAGGAGTTTCGCGGCAACTAGAGCCAATAAATGAGCTGCGCTTAGAGTATCGGCACTCTCTTCCCCGACAGTGTTGTGAACGCCGCCATTTTGGTGCTTGTGCAGAGCAGGCGCAACTGCCGATCGTCATGATTCAAAAGTGAGACATCGTCAGCATTAGATTCGGTGTTAGGAAGCTCATGTAATGTTGCTTTGCTTTGTCGCAAACTGTTTAAAGTGGGGGACGGAAAAGCGTTTCTTGTGATTTCAGGTAAAGCTTCAAATAACTGGCAACCATAATTTTAAGCCATACTAAGGCCAAGCGTGGCTACTCTGAAGCGTAGCTTATTTAATAACACTACTCATGCTCTTGTTCAAGAGGCTTGTAATACCTAGGGTGCCTCAATGTCCTTCTGTTTAGGGTGATGCCACCCTCTGTAGTACCCGATGCCGACAGCACGCGCTCAAGGGGAAAATACAAAGAAATCGACGAAAACAAAATGTCGCCATAGCACAATCAGCGCCACGAGCGCGTGCAGGGACACGCTCTTTCACGCGCTTCTCAACAAAAAATAAAAATAAAAGAGGGGGACAAAATGGCCAGATGTCGTGCTCCACCCTAAGCAAAGGGCACATGAAGTGCTCCACCCAGTAATACCTGGAGGGGCCATATCGTAAGCCCCGTGGATTCCACAAGCCACTACCTTTTGACACCTGCCTCTTCATTGTTCCCGCTTGTGCCAGTAAATTAGCTACGGTTCAGAGTAACGACACTTGGCCATATTGTGGCTTAAAATCATGGTTGCCAGTTATATGAAGCTTTATCTAAAATCACAGGAAACGCTTTTCCCTCCCTCACAAATGTTTAAACAACCCGCGACAGAGCATTGCAATATTGCATCAGCTTCCTAGCACCGCATCTAATGCTGAGGAAGTCGTACTTTTAGATCACGATGATCGGCAGTTGCGTTTGCTCTGAGCAAGACCCAAAATGGCGGCGCCCAAAACAAAGCTCATTTAGTGACTCTAGGCATAAAGTGAACTCGGGTGTATTCTTTTCCTCTTCGTCTTCATTGTTTATTGATTTCAATCATATCGAATAATGAACACATTATATCACGCTACGCTTGTGTAAATATTGGTCTTAGATTTATTAGCCTGACCCAGTACTTAAACCATTCAGTTATCGATAGCAAATCTTCCAATATATTTTTTAAATGTGAGGGTAAAAAGACACGGAGATTGATGATGATACAGACGCCAACGCCGCCCTCGGAAATTTTTTGAACATTAGAAATCAGCAGTTTGTCTGCCATCCGCCAGGTAGCGCAACAAAACACCCAAACAGTTTTTAATTGTTTTTAAACTTAGCTAACCTCTACACCTATTAAGAAACCAAAGCAATATCATTGTGAAAATTTAATACATCGCAATGTATATCTATTCCAAACTATAAATGTTATTAAATGCCAATAAATCTGTTTGATGTCCAAAACAGATATGCGTCAAAAACAGGTAAGTTTGAAGGGCTCCTGGAGCGTTATGACTTTGAAAATGAAAAAAAGCCATCGTCCACCTCTTGGGCAACCATTGTAGCTCTAAATGTTATAAAAGATTTTACCATAGTTTAATTATTTCTTCAGCGGCATTTGAACTACCATGACACGAAGCACAAAAAAGTGCTACGTTTGATATAAAATATCTAAACAAAAAAAAATGTACACAACATTAAATTTTTTTCTGCATATTACCAATTATAAGCACTACATCTGTAGCTAATTTCATTGCCCTAGCTCTTGTCATTAAAAACATATTTGTGCGGAAAAATGTCAATTTTAGGGCAATATTTGGAGGGATGAAAAAAACAAAGTAGTGCAAATATAAAAAAAGTGGATCGTTAGATTCTGCTCCGACATCATCTTAACAAAACTGATATATTGGAACCGTGCTATCTTTAATGGATCGTTCATAAAACATGAACTAGCGGAGCAAGTGAGGGTCCGCGCCATCATATTCACAACGCTACAAATGCGCATGAACAGTAAAAACCAACACATAAATAATATCAAATGAAAGAGGATTGCATTGCCTTTCAAATGACATCAATCCCAAAAAACAGTATTTAAAAGGAGATGAGTAATGGCCTGCCGAAAAGTACCTAAACTGCCACATTCAGTGGGACCGTGGCCTTAAGCATTTCTCTTATTTTTCTAAGAAAAAAAAATGCGATTTGCACGATTCACAGATTTTTTCTGCAGGTTCCAAACATTTATAACAAGAACCGATTCTTTGATTAAAATTATTTTAGTAACCATATTAAACTCTACTTTGGTCGCAAACAGAGTGCGGACGCTTTTGGCTATTATGTTGTCCTTTTCGTCACGCCTTCAAAGTCCTCTCTGAAATACGAATCTTGTTTTAATTATTTCGCGTGCACGTTTGGTGCAATTCACTATTCCCATGTATGTCAGTCATAATAATTGCGTCAGTCTCCTCAGTACACCGGTGGATTCTGTCATACATTTTGGCATTACTAAACAAATAAAAGAAGCAATACCTACATCGTAAAATTGCTTTGTCGGGTTGCTTGGGGTCTTTGATTCACTTTGATGAATTATACACGTCGAAGAGACGAACATCAGCACCATTAGTGAGGTCTTTGCTTGCATGGTTGAAGCAGTCCTGTAAAATTCATGGGTTCTACATTCTACGTTTTACATTTTTATCCTCTTTGTCCGAGGATTTTTTTTTTTTTTCAGACGCAAGACAAAACAGGTTTTCCCGCACATTAGAGGCTAACTTTTCAATCTAAGCATAAATACATTTTATTCTACATTTTGTCTGATAAACTACTCGCCAAACGACTGTAGTTTCACGACAACGTGAAACTACAGTTGGGACCGGAGTGCAAGTACCTAATAAAACTCAAAGTTTTGAAAAACTTTGACAGAAATGTCACGATCTACTAGATCTTGTTATATAAAACAAAATATGAATCCAATTCAAGATTCAACGTGTATAGACGTAAGGCAGAAAAAAAAAACTCGGCAGCATGGTGCTTTTTATAATCAGTTGACAAGAGTGTTTTCTACTGCTGAGCTTTGCAGTATCTACCGTAAGTCACCTGGTGCTCTAATAAATCATTTCCTTTAAACGTTATATATTATGCCAGTACGTTGGAGCTGTGATATAAGTGCCCACACTCCACCTGACTGGTTGTAATGAAAGAATGAGGCTAATTTATCTGCAGCTGAGGTTGATCACCTAATTATGCAGCCACATTTTTGTACATATTAAACCTGTTCAAGGTAGGTTGAACGATTTTTTTACATATATATACGCAAACTACTTAGAATGAGGAGACCTTGCTATTTTCATATGTTACGTCTTAATGCAGCCGTTTTGCTGGTAGACGATAGCGAGATAATGAAGCATAAAACAAAGCTTTCTCAATGCCGCCTGCGTATGACTTAGTTGCAGGGCAGTGAAGCGACGAATAAAATAAAAAGGTTTGCAGAAATACTACTTTCCTTCGACTATGGTGCATAAAATACTACGGGTATATCATGATACATCATATTTAATTATCGTCCCCTGAAGGTGCCGAGGTTGCAGCGTTCAGAGAGTTTACTCAAATTTTCCAGCGTGAGCACTCTCTACATCATCAGGAAAATCATTATTGCGTTAATTATCTAAATCCCTATATAACAAGAATAGATACCCAATTTGTCTTTAGAAGCTTTAAGCAAAAAAAAAAAACAAAAAAAACTCGCAAAGAAATCATTATCTTTACACCTTTTCCTTATGCCAAACCATTGGTGGGTGCTAGATTCCTTTGAGTCCTCGTTCGCTGTAATCATTCCGTAAGAAGTGAGTTTGTGAACTTTTATGCAATCTGTGCCACAGTAATGAAGTGTACATTTCCTGTGCATTGGCTCGGATCAATATTGGCCTCTATTAAGCACGGGTTCACATATTTAATGAATTATATAGGAGGATTCATTAACATTCTAATACATTTTTTTCCGAACGTCACAGTTCTCTCCAAGGTAGGATGCATATCAATATATATGAAAATATCCTTTTTGCATTGTTTATAAATGTATTAAAATTACTTTATTAGTCTCATCGGTTGGCAATTACTTGTAGAGGTTTAAAAACGCTGAAAATACACAGGTACCTAGACGAGGGAACATAAACGCAAGTCGCACTCGCAAGGCCTTGTTGAGAGTGCGCCTTGTTTGTCTTCCCTCTTCTCGGTTCTTATGTATTTTCGTCGCTTTTAAACCTTAAAGTAAAACCAACTAGCCCAAATAAAGACCATGTTTCAGTTCTTTACTAATTAGAGAGTATACAAGAAACTGTTTCAGTACCTATATTCAGAGGATTGTATCTTTATGAAAGTATTTAAATAACTAAAAGTAAATGGAACAAAGGAGGATATCAAATGTTACCTATAATAACTTTCATCACAAAAAAATTATCACTTTGAAATATTTGTTCATTCTAAGTAACCAAATTTCCAAGCCAAGCGTTTCCACAGCAAAACCTGAGTGTTCTATACATATCTGTTTTTTTAGAATGAGTGTGTATGATGGGTATTTAAAATAAACATATTCAGCTTTGACTACAAATGAACGGTAAATGCGCAATTTCTTACCCGTCTCTTCTTACCTCGACTTGTAAATCTGCAGGTGTCCAAGAATGTCTGTGTATACGGCTCAACATGCCTTCTTTCTATATACCAAGCTGTGTTCTAAACCAACCAATGAGAGCCTTTGGTGATGTCAAATAAGAATGACGTAGGATTTTGTACGGTAATACGCAGTACCTGCTGAAAACAGAGCAAGGACACCAGATGGCTAATGTTTTGGCTTATTTGGTAGATTACCGCCATATCAAAACACGTGCCGGAAGTTTCAATTTCGGAATGAAATACTTCAAAAACATCAGAGCACCTGGCAAAAAAATGTTCATTTAAAAAATAGCAGCGAAAATTCCACGTGCCAATTAATTTTCCATAGCGATGGTAAAATAAACTTTATATAATTTATACGTTTTCTGAGCACTACATTTTATTCTCCAACGGTTCACCATCATAACAACCTAACAACTGAACTCAACTTACTAAAGCAGAAGGAAATCGGTAGCGTCACACCTACCGAACCTCAGCTTACTACAGCTCTAAACGAACTTTCGCAGCTGAAAACTTGTTGTGACGACGCGGAGGGCAGATCCCGTCGTAACAACCTTCTATTTTTTGGCGCCACTGACACCGATAGGGAAACGTGGACCCAGTCCGAGGGCTTGGTAACCGGCCTGTGTTCCAGAAACCTAGGCCTGAATATCGAATCAAGCAAAATTGAAAGAGCGCACCACTTAGGAGCGTTCAATCCGCAGAAATGTCGCCCTATAATTGTGAAGTTTTCATAATTTAAGGATAAAGAGGGCACTCTTTCGTCGGCATTTAAGCTCAAAGGGACATGTGTAGCCATCAGTGAAGATTTTCCCATTTTTGTCCGACTTGCGCGCAGTCACCTTCTTGATTTTGCCAAGCCTAAAGGCACGACTTATAAGCTGTTTTTAGATAATAAGTGTTATGTATATGACGCCGCTCTTGGTGCCGTGAAAGAAAAAAGTGTATAGCAATGCCAGCGTTCATTTGGTTTTCGTCACCTAATCAACCTGCAAAACGCCGTGATATCTGTAACAAACCTTATCATTCCATTTTATTTACTAACATTACAAGCTTGATACCAAAAAGGGATGATGTGATTTCCTTGGTTGAGGCATGCAACGCAGATTTCCTTGTGCTTAGCGAGACGTGGCTAAGCCCCGATATATCCGATACTGAACTTTTTCCTTTGTGTCGAAACTTTCGTGTGTATAGGTATGATAGATCCGCTAGGAGGGGGGGGAGGTGTGCTTTTAGCTAGAAAAAATCAAATTTCGTCCCGGGTTATACCGATTTTTACCGACTTTGAAGTTGTATGTGTGTACGTCGCTACGACACCCCCCTTAATAGTGGCTGTGTGCTATAAACCGCCAGATAGTGATAAAGAATTTGTTAACAAGCTATATAAGTGCCTTTATAAAATCACAACTAAATACCGTAACGCCTTTGTTACTCTCTTTGGTGATTTCAATTACTCTAACATTGACTGGTCTGCCCTCTCTTCTAGTTGCGCATTGTCTAAAGAATTTATAAACTTTTGTTTAGATTTCAACTTTTCAAATGTTATCACTCAGCCTACTAGGATTACTAATCACTGTAGCAGTATACTCGACTTATGCTCAAGCCAAGACCCCTCACTCTTCAGTAACATCACATACTTACTCGGCATTAGTGACCATCTCGTCATCGATTTAACTCTCTCTCTCTCTGCTCCTCGTAGATTACATTACTGCAAAATTATTCGCAATTACGCGAGAGCTGATTACGCATCAATCAACTCGAACCTCGAAGATTTTTATCATACTTTCTCAGTTAACTTCTGGGAAAGAACGGTTAATGAAAACTGGACTCTATTCAAAGATAAAAAAAATCTACGTAATCGAACGCTTTATTCCACTGACCCGTATTATATCTGATAACACTAACCCTTGGTACAATAAAACAATTAATAGTCAATCCAATAGGAAAAAAAGACTCTATAAGCGGACTAAGGCTGTCAAGACTACGGCTTCTTGGAACGCCTACTACGAATGCGCTAGGGCTCATAAATCAACAATAAATCACGCCAAAACCAAATTCTATAGTTATCGACCTCCCCAACATAATAACCACGAAACCAAAAAGAAACCAAAGAAGTTTTGGAAAATAATCAATCCGGCACTTTCACTTCCTTTGCAATTTGTAGATGACGACGGACTTCCGCTTTCTGATAAACACGGCACTCTTGCTATTCACAATTTCCTCTGCTCCATCTTTACCTAAGGAGGACTTACTAAATATTCCCGACTCGTGCCAATCCACTCACCCTCTCATGGATCCTATCGTAATTGACCGTACTGGAGTACTTAAGGCTAAACTAAAAGTGTCCTCCAGCTCCGGAGATGACCAAATTAACTCTAAGGTATTAATAAACACTTAACACATTTCTTCCACTTTCCTCTGCGACATATTTTCTCAATCTCTTAAACTCTCTGAAATACCATCAGATTGGAACGTTGCTAGCGTCATACCCGTTCATAAAACAGGCGATCGCCAACAAATCAGCAACTATCGTCTTATCTCGCTCACCAGCGTTTCATACAAACTCTTGGAGCAAATTCTCTATTCCAACATAATAAACTTTCTAGACCCTCATAACCTCCTTTTCAAGCACCATCACGGATTTCGCAAGTCCTACTCATGCGAAACTCAGCTAACAACATTTCTAACTGACGTTTACTCAAATTTCGATCCCAATGTTCAAACTGACGCCATCTTCATTGACTTCTCCAAAGCGTTTGACAGGGTCTCTCATCAACGTCTTTTAACGAAACTAAGAAATATTAATCTTCACCCCTCAGTAGTCAATTGGATTTCTGAATTCCTTACTAATCGCACACAGTGCACTTCTATTAACAATATAAAATCTACCACAAGCACAGTAGCGTCTGGCGTCTTTCAGGGAAGCGTTCCTGGCCCCCTTCTTTTTTTTAATTTAAATTAATAATCTCCACCATA